CTAGAAAGATAAAGTTAATTCTCGTGTAAATTTATTTTATCTTCAGACAAATAATCATTCTTTTCGTCTAATACACCTAGAATTACTGTTCATTTAGCTTTATTTCACCTTAATAAAAAAAAATAGCTCTTTATTTAGTGATCATAGAGATAGCATTCACTTTGTTCTATTCGATCTTCATCAGAAAAATCATTGTTTATCTAATACAATTAGAGTTAGTGTTTCTTGCTTCTCATTCTATCTCCATCTTGAAAGAAATAGTCATTTATTCGATGAAGAGTTTAGATTAGTGTCTCTTTCGTTTTACTCTATCTTGATAGAAGTATTCGTTTTTTTTCTGAAGTTTTGTTATAGATATTGATCAGTGATTTCATACTGAGTTGACTTAAGTCCATCGCATAGCTTTAGTAAGAATTCATGACATGTTCACATAATCAGAAAGAGTTTATAAAAGGGTTTATAAGAAATTCTATATACTTGAAATCGGTTTAGAAAGATATTATGAGCTGTTTATGTAACCAGTTGACTATATAAACAGTTCATAATATCTTCCTTAGCTCATTTCAGGCATATAGGTTTTCTAATAAATCTTTTCATAAACCTTTTCTGGATATATATTACATCTCATTAACCTTTTTAAAGGGTTTATATAATGTTACTTTGATGCTATAAAGTCTTTCATATACTCTTGAATGTAGGTGTGGTGAATGTGGGTATGAGTGTTGCTCTCTTTTTCAACAAGATATCCATACCCACACCATTAAAAACCCTTCCTGTTGACTTTATGTCTCAGCCTTGATATAGGGTTAAGACTTGGGATATTTCCTGCAATCAGGGTTCATTAAACTCTACTTGCAGTAGGATTTTCAAAGCAAACAACTGCTATATAGATGGTTTTTATCTGGCTCCAGGACTTTTGTCCACGACTGTAACTAACTTAAACGAAAAGTACACGATCTAAATGTAGACAAAGCGATCCCGAAAACTCTGTCCTCTCAGTTTGTATCTAAGATTTAGGCCTTTTCTCTACTATTTGATATATAGTCGAATGCGAAAGCAAGCAGAAGAAGAGGTGCGCCTATAAGTTTCTCTCTTCTAGATCTTATTGGAACCTGATGACTATCGTCCCATTCTTGTTCAGTTTGCTTCTGCTCTTAGTTGGGGAGCAATATCAAGTCTACAGTAAAGAAGCACCCCACCATCTAAGGGAATTTGTAAGTTGCAAATATTATTATCCTCTGCTTCTCTATCCACGTACAATAACAAATATTACAATTGCCAATTCCTCTCCACTGAAAGTGAAAGTCACTTTTCACGTCGCTCATCTATATAAAACATTTTCTATTAGCGGTATGGTTTGTCAACGTGGGTTCTCCACCACCACAGCTCGTGCACTCTGCAGGTCATTGGGTCATACACAAGCTAGTTTTGTAAGAAATATGACACTCGATTCAAACGAGTCGTGTGAATTTCAACATAACAATGAACTAGTTGATATTCCCTGTCGATTTATTTTCGATTCATTATCTTGCACACGAAATACAACTGCTAATGGCCTTTTGCAGTGCACATTTGCATCTGAAATTAGTAGATTTTGTAAATCTAATTCGCACATTGGACTAACTTGTTACACTCCTACTACGACTTCTCGACGGACCTCAACCAAAAGGCAGCCAACGACAACGACATCCTCGTCATCAACAACAACAGCAACAATAGGAGCCGAGGAAACAGTCGTCTTAGTGGAAGACAAGCATACCATCACTGCAATGGCAGAAGATTCAACGACAGTTGCTACGAACGAAGATATAAAGCCACTTCTTACAACAGAAAATCCTGCGACATTTTCAATGATTGACCAGCATACAACGGAAATTCGCATATCATCACCAATAGCAATCGAAGACGGCGCGTTCAATGGTGAAATAGAGTCACTAGCTGGTGACATGAGCAGCTCGGATGAATAAACTATCGACCTTTACTGACATATTTTATGTTTGAAATGTCTGTTTTATGAAACCTTTAATTTTCTTTGAAGAAATTAAAGTTAATAAATATGACTTTAAGACAGCACCCATGAACCTATCAAACATACGAAGCACTCGATAAAAAAAAAGAGTTCAGTTTTTTATGCACATTCGAAAGAGCATGATTTATAACAACCAAACTTAATATTTTAGCTCATTTGGATGTTTCATAGAAAAGTTAGTCTATATCGAATTTTTAGAACTGACAGTCCATTATCAAGAAAAAAGTCATTATCTTTTCGTAAATCACCATTAAGATTGTATTTTAATAAGTCAAAAAAGGTTTTTATCTCATATATCAAAGCATAAACCATGAAAAACTGAGAAAGTTGAGATATATAAAGGATTGTATATTAACTATTTACTGCGCTAACATGGATGGTAAGGATCTTACTTTAGTAGTTTATAATTTTTCATCTTTGGCAATATATATGCTATCATTTTTTGAGATCAAAAGATTTTGAGCTGAATTTTTGCTATGTGAAAAATGGTTTATACTCTCAGTAATAAGCAAAACAATCATGGATACTTTTGAGTGTCTTTCATTGATGCAAAATTTTATCTTAGAAAATGATGGAACTTCATTTTGAATAAAATGACACAGACAGTTTTCTGGAAAATGGGAAAAAAATTCGACTTTCTATACACTGAGGGGAGCAGGGAAATTTTGAAAAACCTTTTTCCCATGTAATCGAATAGTTTTCATCGAGAGCTATAGAATTTGAAATGCTGATCACAGCTATGTGAGCGATGTCGAATATAAAATGTAACTCAGCAGTGTAGGTCATATGCTTGCCATAGGCCCTCAAGCTCTCTATTAGAAAAGTGCGTCATATACGGTTAAATTACACTTAACAGTTGTCGTGAATCATGTGGCTGTGATCAGCATCCCAAGCTCTATTTTCATGATGAACATTATTCGATTACATGAGACAAGTTTTTTCAAAATTTCCCTGCTCCTTCTAAGGGTATAGAGGGTCGAAATTTTTATTTTCCATTTTTCAAAGAACTGTCTACTAGAGACCGAACCGAACCAAGTTTTACTGGTTTAGGTTCTGTTCGACTTCGATTTGATACGGTTCATTTTCAGTCCCTGATAGGCGTGGCATTACATTATTTATTTATTTTAAATTTTAACTCTTGCCAATTTAAGCTTCAAAAAAATTAAGATTTATCCAATATTCAAATTTTAATTTAACATACATTTTAATTTTTGATAACTTATATGCTGATTCAATTCCCCTCGACTGTAGAAAGGGTCGTATGAAAAAAAATGCGTTTTTGTGTATGTATGTGTCAAGGTCAAAAAATCAGAGGCAAACTTTAATTAAGCATAACTTTTTAAGTTTCACCGACGGTAATTAAGGTCGGAAAATCCGAATCTGAGGTCGGATTTTACATCCACTCTTCCAATTGGCTAATAAGGCGACCAATGAGAAATTATCTCTTTTATTTTAACCCTTTGATCGTGGTGAACCTCGCATGGGTGTGGGTACAAGTGGTTAGAAGAAGGCTGTTGGGTGAGTTAAGTGGAAGAAATGATTTTAATCCACAACCTTGAATGACATTTCTAAAAGAGCCAAAGCTTTCATTATTCTGTTGAAAATGTAGTTCCATTCTTTTTCTTATCATTGCCGTAAAGAAACTAACAACTTCGTTAAAATTTATTATTCGAACATTGACATAAAGGTGAAGGACATTAAGTAGCTTCAAACAAAATGATAGTCTTCTTTAACACTGAGTATTGTTAACGAGGTATTTCTGAACACGATTATTTCTATTATCGACTACGTACATATTTCCTTGTAAATCAAATTTCAGACTTGTTGGATTACGCAATTGATTTGGATTAGGGCCTGAGCCACTTCCTACAAGCACGACTGCTGCGCTAAGCTCTCCTATATTCCATTTCAAAATTCGATTATTGCCGCTATCAGCTATAAATATTGTACCACTATCGACAAATACTGCTCTTGGACTATTCAATTGATGTAAACCTGGTCCTAAATTTGAACTTCCTGCGACTGTTGTTCCGTTTGAAGTACCATTCTTCCAGAGTTGTATTCGATGGTTCAATGTGTCTGCTACATAGACGTTGCGGTTTACATCGACAAAGATACCTTCAGGTACTCGAAGTTGTTTTGAATCAGATCCCACACCGTTGCCCCCAGCGACTATAGCAAAGGTTTTATCAATATTCGACCATAAAATGACGCGATGGTTACTTGTATCACATATATAGGTACTTCCTTCGAAAGCAACTAGACTGTAGGAACGGCTAATGTGTCCACTTGGCACAACTATACTCGGATCACCTCCATTTTTATTGATGCGTTGGATAATCTCACTACTGCCACTTTCGTGTGAAAAATAGATAGCTTGTTCTTCTTGGTTCAATGCAAGTCCATATAAGGAATCCCCTGTGAAGAGAGATTGTCCTTCAGCGGAGTGATTGGCAAATTTTAGTAGGCGTCGGTTTGATGTATCCGATACGTAGATATTTTCACTATCGACAATTAGATCTCTTGGATCATAGAGACGATTGGGAGCTAGGCCGCTATCGCCGTTTTGTGCACCAGCAATTGTCACGCCATTTTCATCCCATGTTAAGCAACGGAAATTGATTGGAACGGCACTACTGATCGTTGTCCTCGATGTTATTGTTGTTGATATTGCTACTTCTATAATAAAATCATACTTATAAAATGTTACAAGTTAAGATCAAAAGATAGAATAGAATTTTGTGGAAATAAACGTTGCGATCTAAGGGTCTGTGTTTCTCAAGAAAGTGTTAAACTAACCGTTTGTTGTTAGCACTGCTGTTGTCGTACCACTTGAAGAAGAATCTAAATAACCAAATAGAAAAAGCCGTCAGCTAACTAATACTTCTCATCATTATCAGATGATAAACAAAGCGAGAGACTGGTGCTCTAGAAGCCTTAGTTAGAGAGTTTACACTTTGCATGTTTAAAAGCCTAGTAATGTTAGCTCTTACTGGTGGTGCTTGTTGGTCCGGTGGTTGTCGCCGGTAAGGAAAAAAATTGAGTGGTTGTAGCTGTATTACAAATAGAAACGAATTGCTCTTGTTAAGGGTTATACGATCAACATTTTAAAATTGTTTTGTAATGTTTTAACATATTGTAGAAAAACTAATTATGAATCAGACGAGAGATTTATTTTCGAGTACAGTTCTATAAGTTGAAGTCATTGATGAAACTCGCAGACTACAATATTTTTACAACAAGTCTCTACGAAAAACGTTTTCATTCCCGCATAAAAATGAAAGTTAGCAAAGTTGCTGAGCTTCTAACTTTCTGAAAGTAATTATGTTGTACAGTCACAATTTTGAAGTCAAATGAAGATATAAGTCTGATTCTATAGAGATAAGAAAATAAAACTTATGCACTATCGGAAATTTAAGCTAGCCAATAGTAGAGTCATAGCGTTTTGGGAACATTATAATAATTTGAAAATTACAAAATTGTTTTTAGAAACTGAGATATGTCAATCGAAAACCTTATCTGTTCTAAAGAAATAATATGTTGATAGTGTTTTTATGACACACTAGTCTAGAGATATTGAATAAATATAAGCAAAACTGAACATCATTGAGAATAAGTTCAGAAGTTCAATAAACAGCGCAGTCCGATATGTTATGTGTGCATTTTCAACGAAAGGGATTAGTGATCTGTGTTTTGCAGATTCACCATCTAAACTACCTGGGCAACAAATCTATATGAGCAGAAAAGCCAGCCGAAAAAGAAACAATAGTATGTCGACGAGGAAGCAAAATTTCTGGAACCGCTTATATATTATTCGAAAATTAACCCTTCAGACTATAAGACCAACGAAAAAAGAAACTATTTTCTTGAACAACACGCTGAGTTGCCGAAGTTTCTTTTCCATAAAGCAGGTTATCACGAGTTTTTCAAAGCCAAAAACGCATCAGTTCACTAAAAGTAGTGACCATCTGTCATTTTAGCACAATATGATCCTGAAAAGATTTTCGAAAGAACAACTTTTTTTCATCAAAAAATCCACGAGATGAATCATTACCGTGAGATGTTAGGAAAAATTAAATTAATCAAAAAACTATCGAGTTGTATGTATCTAGGTTCAGTTTTTTGTGTTGAGTCCGAATACGTATAAAATATGCAGAAAAAAAGCGTTTATAAGATGAGAAAATTTAATTTTACATGAAAAATCGACGGTTTTTCAAAAATCTATATCACAACCACGTCAAAAAGTCGCATAAAACCACATGCATAATAGATACAGGACATCAAAACGCACATTTTGTTCTACTTTTTAACTCTACTGATGTCCTACCAAGGCCTACACTCTTACTTTACTTAGGATGGGTTTTTCGAACAAGTATCTTTTCAGAAAACTTCTACTGGAACTTTTGGTTTCGGTAGGCGAAAGAAAGACTTTTTCACCGTTGGATAGCCCGATCGATGCTGATTCCGAATACGTGCTTAGAGTTAGGAAAAATAGATAAATATGGATAGAGAACATTTAGTTTCTTTAAAACTACAATAATTCTAGCGACAATTTTTCATCTAACTTTTCTTGGCAAAGAAAACATTTTAGACAAAACTTTTTTAGCCATTCAAAAGATATTTGACACTATTCAAAACACGAGAAACTAAACTTTGGATTTTTTGTGAAAAGAAGGCTTAATTGCGTATCGTATCGGATAGTCTATATTTCGAATCCGAAAATTGCCGATCGCTAGCTCTTCTCGTTCAAAAAATCATTTACAAAATATTGAACTATCTGTTTGTTGAAAAAAATAATAGTTCATGCTCAAGTGTTCATAGCTTCGAAAGACGCTACTTAACCTGTTGCCTAATATCGTTCAAATTTGATTGATCTCTCGTTTTTAGCAGAATTGCACGAAGTTTCGAATGGGTGTGACTGAAAATTCATCAAACGACATTCTTCTAAACTATATAAACTAGTGCTTCAGAACATGAAGTTTAGTCACACATTATTTCTGCGCTTTTAGCGGCACAGTGTTGCTGCACATTTGTGATTTGTAAAAAATTTTGTTATTTTCAATTGCGTGCTAGAGTTCTGAAAAATCGATAAGAGCTTTGTAGTGAAGGCATTTTTTACGAAGAAAAACAAAAAGAAATCTAATTTCTTCTGAGAAATTAATTTATTACGTAACTTTTTCGAAAAGAATAGCTTCTTGTGGTTTTCTCGATTAGAGCTGGCGTGTAAAACTGAAATTAGAATATGATTTCTCATCAGTCGATAAATATTCGATGTTAAGAAGATAGGTTTAATCGGAATTTTTCTTTATGAGAAAGCTTATTTATTCTTTTACTTGTAAGCTGATTACCATCGGTTTCCCCTTCTTTTTTTTTTCCAAGAATTACGCCCAATGGTACAGCAATGCAAATGACCACTACTAAGACCACAATAGCTAGGATAATGGAAAGCCTCCTATGTTCATTGATCCATGTTGTGCATCTTTTGCATAATTTATACGATTTCTCCTCCGGTCTGACTGAAACCGGTTCAGCAATAACTATATTTTCAAATACTGGCGGTTTATCATTATTGATGGTAGGGTCTGGATGTTGAATTGGCGGAGCTGTGGCTTCCACAGGCCTTTCCGAAGATTGACGCTTCTGTACTCTGCGTCGTGATGGGCATTTGTACTAAAATATTTACAGAAGAATACGTGCTATTCTTTACCCTCAAAATTTATATAGCGAAGTTTGTAGCAAAATAACTATCAATACATACTTCGTGTAGATCGAAATGACTTGTCGGATACCGTTCTCCACAATATTTGCATTCGATTTCTGCTAGGATACTAGTGAAAGCTGACATTTTTCTAATTTTGATTTTTGAAATCAACACACTGTACTTTGATGTAAACCGAATTTTATACACTTTCCTTCCAAATAAGTTAGACTCCGAAAGATGCAATATTAAAAGTAGAGAAAGAATTTTATAACATCTATTGTAAAAAAAACAAACATTATAAAAGATAAGAAAGACAATAGGGGATGCGAGTATGTAATAATAAAACTCACCCACGACTGATGAAAGGCGTGATAACAAAAAAAAGAAGAAGGTGGTAGCGCTAAAATTATCAAGAATGTTTGTTGATAAAAAACTGCAGATAAAATTGACGATAAGCATATTTGTAATGAATACTAAGGATTTTATTCTTCGATTTTGCAGATAAGCGAAGCATCCGAATCATTCGCTCGAGGATCTGCCGACAGTTCTTATTGGATCGTAATGAAATCATTAAAAATCCGCTCATATAGGTGGCCTTTATTATGATTTTGCGAGTCGCAATTCAGTTCACAGAACAAACATGTTTTTTTCTTTCAGAAATCATAGTGAAATCGAATGGCGCAACAACGTGAATCGATTCTCTTTACTTTAATCCACACAAGTGCAAGTCCAAGTAGCATCTTTAGCTTAAAGCAAAGGGTGTGAATGTGGATATGTGGTGGAATATAGTTTTCGGCAACATCTACACAGCTGCACCCACACCCTTCTATTTTAGGTTCACTTTATATTATCTGGTGATTACGATGAAACAGGTATTCGCTTACTCGATGTTGAAAGTTCAATTCTTGAACGAGGACATATAGATTTGTTTCTAATGGTTGTACCAAGGTTAGATGTTTTGTTTTGTTGTTGTAAAAATATTTTACGATGCTTTCAATTGTATAGTTGTGTTGGTCCATTAAATTATCTTCGAATAGGACATGATAGTTGAGGTGAAAGTTTGTATGCTTCATGATTTCTTCAATATATTACCATTTATAATCTTCAAACAATAAAAAAAACATATTTTATTTGCCAACAATAGTCTGCTGTGGGGTGTGAGTGTGGGTTTTAGTATAAGTCTTATCTCTAATCACACTCACATTCCTAACGGTCAGTTTCTTGAATTACTGCGGCTTGCAATGGAGTCTTCGATTAACCGCGACTTGTCGCTAAACAAATCTGATATTTGCAAAATTGCTTCTATTGTTCTAGTTGATCGTTCCAAGTATTCTTATTTGAAGAATATTTATAAGTTCAGTGCATATGTTGCTTGAATAAAAATGCTTGTCTTTGAACACATTTTAAATTGTGCACATGAGGAAAACAAGTTCAACTACGGTTAATTATTCGATGATATCTTCACATTCCCGTTGATTTATCAGTAATTCATATTTCAATTTATTAGTTTGACACAAAAACATAAGAGTTTTCATTTCTAAAAATATTTATTTGATTGTACAGGTAAAATGTTTTTACAGCAAAAGAATACAATATCGTGCGCTATGCAGCGAGGTATGACCCAAAATGTAATAAATATATGAACTGAAAAGTACAAAATATATCTTTAGATATTTCTCTGTGATATTGATAAAAAACTTGATTATCATTCGAATGAAAAGAGCAAAAAGAAATATATACTACAATTCACTCTGGACGAAAAATCCTAGAGTCGGATCCTATAAGAAGTTATTGGATGTAGGATTCGAGGATTTTCGACAGTTCGAAAACGTTGGATATACCTAGAATCTGATAGAATTACACAGAAAGATGTTCCATTTACATCCAGAAATGACAAACTGTTTTTAACCTCCCCTTCCCTTCCATCAAGATTCTTCTGACGCCATCCTCTTGTGCAATTAGCTGCAAGTTAACAGTTTTAGTGTACTTTGTTTTAACTTATTATTACATTCATTTGTTCAATAATAAATGTAAAATAATGAGAAAAAAAAATCAATAATGAATACTTAATTTTAATTGAATTTCTGCCGGATTATAATCTGAATTAAAAAGTATAATAGAAAACAAAAATGTAATGCTCGTTAAAACCATCCCATCAAATAATCTAAAATAAATATGAAAAAAAAAAAAATTACTATTTGTTAAGTTGATTCTATATTGTAGTCTAAAATGAAAAAATAAATAATTTATACCACGTGTTCGTTCGTTGTCAATTCAGTTGTGTGGCTTCTTTATCATCTTAAACAGTCATTTAGATCTTGAATGTTTTATCTGGGCTTATGGCAAACGACTTCACCTCGTCAAAAATATATTAAAAATATATTTCACATGTTGTCTAATAATTACAGAAAGCAAAACTAGATTCTATAATACCATCGGATTTCATTGGATCCGGCAAGTTTCCACTGTCATATAGGTTCGAATTTTATTGACGAAATTCGATGGTATTTGGAAATCAGATATTTTTGAAGTCTAGGAATCCTATCGGATTCAATCGGGTCACTTCGATCTGAGACAGTTTTCTTTTGGTTTTCATTTATAAGTAAAGGTCAAAAGAAAAAAAAAATAAAGGAAGATATTTGTCTTTTTTTTTCTATCGTATAATTTATACTATTTTTAAGTTTGAAGCAATAAAAACAAATGATATTTTTTCTTCTCTATAGCACCTAATTTTTTTTCTTATTTTAGTTCGAAATTTTTGAAGATTAACAAATATTTCATATTTCAAGGTATTTCTAACACATAAGAATGGGGAAAGTGGAATATTTGATTCAATGTTACGATTTGTAAATCTATGTAGATTATTAATATTACATTTTCGATTACATCCTGTCCTTTTTGTTACAAACATAAAAACAGTTTCTCTTACCTGCTTTGATTTGTATGCTTTATTACCATATATTCATCAATACATGGTTATTAATATTTATTACACATGAGACACACTATAAAAAAGAGATTCGAAACAGTATATAATAATTCTTCTTTAGATTTTCGTTTTCATCATCAATAAAAACACCACTTAGCATGGGCAATCAAACATCATATGGTTCTAATAGATCACCCACACGGCGTGGTACGTGTTCGTTAATTAGATGACTGTTTTCTCATCTTTTCTTGTTTTTTTTTGTTTGAAATTAGCATCTTACAGAGCGAATATTAAATTAAGTGATAGTGGTAAGTGAAAATTGTAATAATTGTAATATTTCTTGATTCATTTTTTTTTTGTTTTTAATCTTATTTAGAAATTTCACAATGGCAAGAAGAAAGTTAAATTCGTTATATTTTTTCCTGAAGATTTGAAATTTTGTTTTTCTTTGTAGAGTTTTCTACGTGATAGTCCAAATGGTCGAGTTGATAAGAAAAAATTTCTTGAAGCTTATGAATATTTTTTTCCTGGAGAAAAGGCACAAATCTATTGCAAGTAAGAAATATTTTGATTCTTAATTATTTTTTATAGTCTTTATTTGTTTAGATATGCATTTGATACATTTGATTCTAATAATGAAGGAACAATTCATTTTAATGAACTTCTTTGGAGCATTGCAGCTACAAGCGGAGGTGATCTTGATGACCGACTTTCATTTTCATTTGATTTGTAAGTTTCTGTTTTTTTTTTTTTTCTTTTTAATTTTATTCAAGACATTTTCGTTTCATATAGATACGATAGTTCGAAGGATGAATATATTGATCAGGAGGAATTTACTAAAATGATTACAGTTATGGTAAATATTTTTCATGATAATTTTTGTTTAAGTAGAAATAATATTATTTCTTTGAGTATAAACTTAATGGCGTGACTGTTGACGATGGTAATAATAATCCAAAAACACGTGCTGCTACAATTATTGCTTCACTTGGTATTGGTGAAGGCAACAAATTGAGTAAACAAGAATTTATTGATGGGTATGTTTTGTAATGTATTTTATAACTTTATTTATCATATGTTTTCTTTGATTAGATGCAAAAATGATCCATTTATCCATCTACTACTTGCTCATAATGTTTAGACAGCGCATCTATAATAGAACAATCATTCTTTTTTTACATTTTATAAGTAAATAGAGTATTAAGGCATATGAATTGTAAAATGAAAACATTTTAGTGAAAGTCAGCGAGTAGAATACATTTAAATAAACTATCTCCGTAGTCAAGATTTTTTTCTTATTGATTTATCTATAAATTTTACGTGTGGTGATGAAGAAAACAATTTTTTAGTAATAAAAGTTAACGAAAGATTGGCAACAATAGTCATGATCATACATACTTGCAGAGATATTTTAATATCTGGTACTTCTTCTTTGTTTTTTCATGTACCAAAATTTGATAGTGGTATGATTTCTCAAGTCAATTTAGAGAAGCATTAACGTAAAGTTCTTGTCAATGAAGGCTAAAAATAATAAATGAAATTTTTCTGTTATTATTGAAATCAGTTTTCATTATTTAGAAAAGTCTAATTATGGTAAAAGATGTCAATAAAAACTTTCGCAATCTATTATTAAAACTATGATCTGGAAAAAAAGACGTATCAGTATACACAACTTTTGTCCTATGTTATAGTTATTTTACTACTCTTGAATGAACATTTTCATGTGATATTTTTTGAAAAAAACTTAAAAATAAGCTTTTCATAAAAGATTTAAATGATTTATAAGTTTGCCAGGCTATAACATTTTGTATAAATATCAGTAATCAAAATTTCTCATGCATTGATCTTGTTTTCAATGTTTTTGGAATAGTGTTTATCATTTTCTCATATTTGTCTACACTAGAATGTTTCCATTTAATGCATCATTTTTTGTTTGACATTTTCGTATTTATGTACATCTCATCTATTTGGCTCTGAAAAGTATATTAGAACTTTTGTTTTTATAAAGCTGGCAAAATGATAAATTCAAATAGTTGACATATTAAAAAATAAAGTAGAAAGAGTAAACTGTATAAAACAAGAGTTGTCAATATGAAAGTCTTTCACAAGATGAATAATGTGATAAAAATATAATCATAACCAAGAAATATAACCTTTTCTTTAAATTTTTCTTAAAAATGTAAAATGAAAATGTTTACTCAAGATTAGTAAAATAAACATAACATCGGATTACTTTTATAATTTTCGAAATGACCTTTCTTTAGATGATAGCTCTAATCTTTCTTCTACAAAATTATTAATTTTCCATTAATGAACTATATATATAGCTTTGTCATGGATCTCATCAATTGACTAAGAGGGATCAGAATTTTTGAATTATCCTTCCGTACATTCCGTAGATAGTAACTGAGGCTACAATAGCTCTATGCGAAGCTGTTTCTTAACATGTTCAGATTTTTCAAAAACATCGACTTACTACTCATTAGTGACGTGGCGACGTACGAAGCTTCAGCGGTAAAAACATCTCCAGATAATGATAAGACAAAGAATTTTATTTCGAAACTTGAGAAGATTTCTAGAAAAACGGTCTTTAAGAAAGAGTTTTTTGAGGTTCGATCTTGTTGAAAATTTCAATATACATGTAATTTGTTCTTAGATTATATCCTACAGCTTTCGGATTTTTTTCTCGTATCTTTAAAGATATACTTTATAATTACTTTTTAATTAATACTCATCTGAAAGAATTATTCAGAAAAATATCTCTTGTAAGCAATGAAAAGTGTGTATGTTCTGTTTTGTTTGAAATAGCCCTTAGGTTTTCAATACAAATCAATTAATGGTACTTAAAAAAATATTTTGTAATTGTGACATGATCATTTTATAGATACTTTTATTTTTGTTTTTATTATGAACATCTGTAAAATGCGGAATAAATATGTTAGTTACGAGGAAAAAAACGAAGTACTAGTAAAAATTAATTTTTAATAACGAAATTCATGATGAAATGAGCAAAACTTGAGGTAATAAAAGAAAGACATGGTTATCAAATATAAACAGAAAAATAAATAATAGACAAGATTCTTCAAACAATCATTAGTACATCAATTTTCAATGTAAATAATGTTTCTTTATGAGCGTCATCTTCCGATTCAGTTGGCTTGACATGCGTATTTCTAACAAGATTGTGAGTGTGTTATCAATCCACCCTCACACCCATACCCTAGTTGTCTGATTCATTGAAAATCCATGTTACAGAAGAATTATACACTATAACTGACTCTGTCCATTATATTCATAGATTTTAAAAACTGAAATTGAATATTAAATAAAACCAATGTTTTCCTGAAATTAACGTAATTCAATAAAAACGAATTACTAAAACTTCGTGAAAGTTTCTCGATTTAACAATATTTTTAAATATTTGACAGCATTTTAATTGCTCATTCCAGTATTTTTTACTTGAACATTGATACGCATATTAATAATCTTGATGACATACAAATTTTCTTTTAAGCAAATAGTATAAGTTTCATCGACAATGGAAACATTATATGGTACATAGGTATTACTTTTGATATCCAATCGAAAACCGATATTAAAAAATTGACCAAATATCAAAAAGATTATTTGCATTCCAAGTTTTCTGAATATTGATAAATGAATTTTTTGAATAATAACGAAGCAATAGTATTACCAAAAATAATTGTCGTGCATTATTTTCTCACATAAAATTCATCTCGTTACCAACCATCCATATGTGATTTTTTTATAAGTTTACGTAAAAACAAAAATTGAATTAAACCACTTCTAAATAGAAAGCAAAAAAAAATTCATATAACAATGACTTTTAATTTATAAAGAATATATATCATATTTGAAACGAACAATATCTGATGAAGGATTCCTTCTCTCATTTTGGCTGTCGACGAAAGTTAAGGCGATTAGCATGAAATTTTTTCACTACAGATAGAACATTTGAGACCCTTGAATACTACCACTACAGTTTTGAATCGAAACCATAACGCATTTCTTTCACAAAAACAGCATAAGACAAGATTTTTGAAAAAGCTTAAAACGACTTCTGAAATATACTCTAAGAAGTCTCAAAGAAAATTTCCAGTCCGATTGAACAAAGTTATAGCAGGTTTCAAGCAGATTCGATGTGGTCTTATGAAAAATTTGTGTTAAGACTTGCCTCGAACACATGTCTTCTTATATGAACAGCTCTTTCTATGATGAAAGTTTCATGTGAATAAATTGCGTCTTCTTTCAGTACCAGAAATGCTAAAAAAGAGAGAACTACCTTTAATTTCTTTATCGTGTTTTAAAATTCAAAAGGAAATAATGATTGAACGCAATTTTTATTGAACGTATAATTAGTGCTAAACTAGTGTTATTTTATATTCGAAAGTTTTTTCAACTTCGATTTTTTCAGACGCAATAGTATTGCACAACCCATGTTTATTTCATCGAAATTTTCTGATTTTTTACTGTTGATTATTTACTGTTTGATAAGAACAAGCAAATGGTTATAGATTTTTCAACGACTTATTGCAAACAATACGATTACAGATTTTCACATTGAAGGATAAATTATTGTGAACAATATGTTGTAAGACATTACAGTGTAATATACGTATGTGGGGATTAGTGATGAAAAATTAAGAATAACAATTAGCAAGATCCTTTACTCTTCTAATAAATTCAAGACCGACATATTTATCTCCTTTTTATATTCGATATTCAAAATATTATAAATTACAATTAAAACAAAATTAAAGCACATGATCCTCAACAAACTTTATATTAGTAGTTGAAAACTTTTAGTGCTACCGATTAATGGAAAAAATAATAATTTTATTTCATTGCATTGCCTTAGATAGACATGGCGTACAAAATCAATTAGTTTAGAAAAGTCAATTTTTTTCATAAGTGTCTTCTAGTTTACGCCCTGAAATATACGTCATGCATAATTTTGTAAAATTTGTTATATAAGAAGTCAAACAAAATATTTAACATTGATAAAATGTTTCGATTTATGATATTATCGTGTAGTGCCTAAAAGATATTTAAAGAAAAATTATATCTGAAGTGCATGTTTGATTAAAAAAAAATGCTTTTCCATGTGTTCTTCATTTTTTCTATTATATCAGTTGAATAAGAGAAATGAAAAGTACGACTTTTCGAATATTTCCATTCTCCTTTTTTCTTATTAGCCACTGAATTGATAAACTACTTCTAATACAATATAATAAAATCAATTCGTTCTATGCATAATATTATCATTTCTATGAAACCATTCATTTATGTGTATGCCTTTTTAAAAATCACCATTGGAAGTAAATGAGTAATTTTCTACTAAATTAATTACTAATATGACAGTATACTACGCTACAAGATATTGTAACAGTTTTCATCGGACAAATCGTTCATACTAAGATTTATTTGTGTATAATCTAGTATTCATAAAATAAATATTTCCGAACAATTTTTCCTATGGTGAAGAATTCTAATACTGAAAAACAAATACATAAAATTTTGTCTCATGAGAAAACATTGTATAATCTTTGTTTTTATTTACTAGTACCGAAGTTACTTAATTTATTGACTTTTGGCATTAAGTTTTATTTTTCAACAGAACGAAAAAATAAGACATGTACAAACATGTACAGGCATGTCAAAGGGGAGAAAAACTTTTTCTGAACAGCCAAGGAAAGCTTCTTTTGTGAATTTCAAAGAGTATTAATTAATTATTTTTCGCAGTTGATTGAATAAATTTGAACTTATAAAGTAATCGCTTTATTATGATGTTCTTCAATTGTAAATCATATGTATATTTTAACATAGAGAACTTCTACAGTATACTTTTGTCACATTCAAATGGAGCCTCTTGTGTTGAGTATTTATAAGACGTATACATATTTGTTATTTTTTGTTAGTTAAATATTTCATATGATTTGTTTTACAAAAATAGTTCGAATTACGTAGAATGTCTTCTCAAGTATTTTCTTTTTGAAAAAAACAAAAGAAGGTGCCCATGTAGTTGATAAAAGAAAAAAAAAATCTATTATTTCTTTTTGTTTCGATAAAAGAACAATATTCTCAATGTCGTTTATTATATATATCTAGACTCGGTATTACATATGTCATGGATTGCTTTCAAATAGAAACTGATCATAAAAAGGGATTTTATAACAAAGAATAAAACTATAAATGATTCTTTCTTTCACTTTCAATCAAACGTCAGCAGACTCTTTTAAATACAAAGTAATGGATCGTAAAAATAGCTAACATCTGATAATGTATTCAAAGTTTATTATAGAGCCGTAAAATATCTACACGATTAATTTTTATCCCATAGCTATAAATTAAGATACGTAGCCAAAAAGATAATTTTTTTAAAATGTTCTTGAGCGATGTATTTCTATAACATAGTTATTTAGGGGTGTCAATTTATCGTCACGTTCCAAAACAAAAGTACGGAAAACCTTTGTTTTTCAAAAACAAAGAAAAAAAGACATCTTGTCTTTTATGGCGAAAAATGTACAGTAGAGAAGAAATAGCAATATAATACAGTTGTGAATTAGATGAACTTATGAAATATTTTCGATTTAGGAACGTGATATGAAAGAAATAATTCAGAAAATATGTTAAAAATAGATATGACACTGGAATTCTGTTTTTATAACTTATGCTGCAATATTAATTTAGGGTGGGTGTGTGTATGCGTGTCGATCTTGTTCTTCCATGTATCGACAATCACATGCTTACACCCGCAGCTCTAGTTCCGACGATCCCCAAAATGAAATTAAAAAAGTCTTGAGTTTAAACTGTACTGAAAATATATTTTCAACCGTTAAAACTCCATTTCGTATCTTGGTCCTTCCAAATCTTCTGAACTGTAAGATTTAGAATCGTGAAAGTTTAATCACAACATTCCATGCAATTTACCGAATATCGATTTCAGTAAAATAACAAAAACTTTGATCTTCAAAATATTTTTTTATTACTCACTTTCATAAAAATACTGTTGATTCCGTATAAATTCATTCCAACTTATTTCGTATATTTATTAAGTTCTACTCTGTTACATTACTTATATATATATATGCACTTACCTGGTGATGTCGAAGTTTTTTCGTCAATAATTTTCATTTTCTGTTTTCACAAGGTTGTTTTGACGGCATGAGAGCATGCCTCACCTAGTTTTTTTGTTGTCGAAATTTTGTTTTTTGCGCGTGTAAAAAATACTCGGATGAGAACAAAACAAAAAAGGAAAGATTACGAATATAATGAGGATTTGAACCATAATGAAACTATAAAGATATGAAGCCATATATAAATTGTTGATCCAAAAAGTTTAGGGTCACAATCTCTGGCAAAAAAAGACATGTCAAGTAAAAACTAAATTGGAGAAAAGAAATGACAACTATTTTTCTGTATTATAGATTAGTATTCTTGGTCAAATATATTCTTTTTAACACAGCGCTACGCTCTAGCAAAGTTTATTGATTTCCATTATCTGAAGAAATTCTTATGCTAACATGGCTAATAAAAATAGGACACGTAGTTCAAATGATGATGACATGGACTCCAATGAGTCATCGGATGGTAAGAAAACAAACTTGAAATATCTAGAATTAATTTTGAATCAAACTTGATGATTGCTTCTACTAATAATTAATTTCAATTTTTATAGAAGATGGACGCTGCCTACCAACAATTGCTCGACCTATTTCTACTAGTTTATTACTATCAAATCAACAAAAAATAGGTAATTATTTTAATATAGATAAAGTAAAATTTGTAAACCTATTTGTTTTTTGTCATATAGTTCGTTCTCAAGCAGCTGAAGAAAAACAATCAAAGAATGCTGCGCAGAGCTATATAAATCAGCAAATTCATGGATATACACGCACTCATCATGATGTATTGTATCGCCAAAATCACCATGGTGTGCAACTAGGTCATTGTGTGCCATCAAGTAAAAATTCATCGCATTGTTGTAAATCTATTTCGCATCTATTTATTAAATGTTTATTCTTGATTTCAGGTAATTTTGCGTCAAGTCAACATTATCTACCAGCAGCACATGTCGATTGTAAGTTCTATCTATGCGTTCTAAAGACAAGATTAATAACGAAAAATTTATTTATCTCTATAGGTCCTAGAGATGAACGTGTACGTTGGATGGACGATTATAAATTTTCATCAACTATCGATGGTCTTTATCTTTAACAACGTTCATTAATTCTTTTCTTATTTGTTTTTTCTAGAATATTTTATACATTTTCGAGAAAGTGAATGCATAGAGAATGCTCAAGCACATCATATGCCACCAACAATCGTTCTCAATAATTTTAGTCCAAGTTAGAAAGAAATTAATTTATTATTTTTATATTAAATCGGTTCTTTTTGTAACTTTAAGATCAAATTACCAACGGTGAAAATAACCGTATTAATATGGATGTAATAACACAAAATAATCCTAGTCAAATTGTTGCAACATTACGGCTAATTCGTATTTATATTATTTTATATATACTTTTTAAGTCTTGTGGTTTGATAAAAAACATTTAGACATATCAGCAGAGGCTACTGTGACAAGCAATGCTATAACAAAAGTACCGGAGGAGATTCCACGTGAATTCCAAAATGAAATTTTGTACGATTTGATTGATGTATTTTTTGTATCTAGATGACACAGATTTTTCTGTTATTACAAGTGAAACACAAAATATTGATTGAACATCCATGAGCAGTGATAATGATGGTGGGCTAATTTTCGATTTATTTTTAGAGAAAACGATTTCAGGATTTATCCATTCAGATGATTGATAAGCTAATTATTTTCTCAAACCCATAGAATGTTTCACTGTAAACGTTAGTTACAGTCACCAAAACTAGGACTCACATTAATCCCGCATGTCTCTATTGATTACTGAAATAAGCACTTGACAATGATATTATAATTCAAAAGTGTTTCTTTGTTTAGAACAAAGTCTTATTCCTGATAGCTTCATATTTATTGAAGCATGATGCATTAGTTCATGGCAACAATCAAATCTGTATGCTAGACATGTTTATATTCTGTTTGTTCTATATTTAAACTAAAATCTCTCAGTAGTTGAAACATTATCAAATAATGCAGCTATTGCTGATGCTGTTCTAACAAGTACTTTATCAAATCGAATGAATAATGTTGATGAACAATCAGCTAGAACAGAATTGACAAATGGTAGAGTTGAAATATTTTCATTTCTATGATAAAAATAATCGTATTTTTTTGTTGTTTAACAAAGATACATTATCTCCTGAAACATTAGAAATAACACGAGATGTTGCTACAAATGAAGTTACTCCTCAGGCAGTTTTATATGTTACTGATGAACCCGTTACAACTGTTCCAAAGTTACCAACTGCATTGAAACAGAGTGACGATTCAAACAAAGGAATTCGTTCGTAAAAGACAGAAACATTTTTCTAACCATAATTAAAACTTTGTTAGAAAAAATTTTAATTATTTATTTAACCATGAAATTTTATAATTTTATTTAATTCGGATTTTACTTATTTTCTTGAGTTCATATTGCCACTTAATCATCATATTTCATGCAGTTTTTATTTCATTATGTATTAATGTCAAGACCTAGTAAGAAAAAAAACAGTCAAAATGTTTGAAATAAAAAAGTATATCTAGACTTAACATTTTAATTATCTCTCAAAATTATCGACGAAAATTTACTGTAAGCAATCATTGAAATGTGCACGTAGAAACATTTTTTTTTCATTAAATTGTTAAGCTTATGATTATTTTTTTTTGTTTGCTATATTGTTCGATTGAAATAAAAACACTATAAATCTTTTCTACTTGATTTGACAAAAGAGTCACACGATGATTTTTTCGTCCGACACGTAGACCACCTGTTGTCGATCGACAAAGACGATGTTTGAAGCATTGAGTTGATTAAAATGATAATCTTGGTCGTTGCCACCAGCCATGAGAACTCCATTCTTGCCTCCCATTTGATATCGCCTAACTTCTTGTTTGACGCAGTCACAGATACATAGACATCCCTGATGATTCATTGCTTATTACCAACATAGATGTTATCGAGGATAATTTTTCCTTGATTTGTGCCACTATGACGAGGCCATTGTAGGATTCATCGGTTCCCGTAATCGCAGATAATGACACTATCAGTTTTATAGTCAAAAAGCAAATCAGTTGGATAATGCAATTGATCCAAACGGTCTCTTAAGCCATTGCCGCCAGTGATCACTTGTCCATTCATATCACCCATCTTCCATTGAACGATACGATGATTTTCGGCATCAGGGATGATTATCGTTTGATCCTCATCAACGAAGAGACCACAAGGTAGATGAATTTAATTGGTGGTACTGCCATACCCTTGGACCTCAGAAACAGTTACACCACTTTGTGCCCATCGTGCATTCAATGGGATATTAGGAATGACTAGAAATGAACGAGCAAGTGAAAGTGGTATCATCATAATTGTCGAAGAGATCGTCTGGTATCTACCGTTATACACTTTGAAAATACCTTAAAAGTGTACACAAATATCCTTGTCCTACGTATCAGATGCAAAACACAAGAAAACAAACAAGGTTCTACATACGAATACCAACAATAGAACTTGTTTTTTTTTGGTTTCTTATAAAAGAAAACTACAAGCGGTTGTCATATCTCTTGATTTCAAATGGATTGATCCATCGATTCCATCAAAAGCTACGTCTCAATTCTGTTCATTCTTTAGCCTAGCGCGAAATGATCTGTTTGAATCTTGCGAAGTCGCTATCCGAACTTGAGATTTTTATTGAAATAGCAGTATGAATTATATCAAGATTTCCTAAATTGTGACGTGCCGATCAAGTCAAAGATTATAATTAGGGTGTTCTATTGGCTCTAACCTACATGTACCCACAACCTGTTTTTCGTTATCATTTCTCAGTAGAAATTGTAATCTTTTCCTGAATATAGTTTCCATCGACAATTCTAGATATTATCTGCAAACTTACCTCCAACTTCTAAACTAATTTTGCTGATGAATGATGTAGAATCTTATTGAATGGTAAAATAAGGTGAATTGTGAAGCATCTTCTTTAGTTTTTCCAGTTCTCTTGTCCATTTCTTTATATCTGAGTCCGCAAACGTATTACATTCACGACTCTAACAAATTGCATAAGTTAGACGATTGAATTGGCTTTTTACTTGAGGAATGAAATCAACGACATATGGAACTAGTTGTTGTTGAATTTCTTCTGCTAGTTGTGTAATCTTTGCGATCGAGTCCCTTTCACTTAGGTCAATATTTCTCATTAATGCATGCGTTAGTGGATTTGCTATTTGTGTATGTATTTCTTCATTAAAATTATTACAAACATCAGTGTGACATTCTAATTGCTTATTCAGATCCCCACGATGCTGCATGAAATGTAATTCACAAAATACTAGATCTGGACATCCGAAATATGTCATTTCAGCTTGTTTTGACAATCTTTGATGTAACACGGTTCATTTGTTGCTGTCACTGTGTTTTGAGTAGTTGGAAGGACAAGTGCGTATTTACGAATGGAACAGAAACAAAAAAATGCGATGCATCGTGTGCTGCATAAGGAATGTCTATCATTTGCCCCAAATTGGTTACCACAATCAATCCCCAAATCAAAATCCCCAAATGGGGATTTTGATTTGGGGATTTTTTAATTTAGGGATTTTTTTTTAACATGACTATATCATACATTCTGTAGTTCAATACCATTCTTTTTCTCTTCCAAGATCGTATTACCAAAACTAAAAATTTTGAAGTCATATGTGTTGGAGATGTTTAGTTTGGATTAGCTAAACAAAATAAAAATAGTTTTCCCATAAATCTGGTGACCAGAATGTATTTTGGGGTACTACAACGAGCAATTTTGAGGTGAATCTGGTGACCAGAATGTATCTTGGTTTACTACAAAGTTCTCTTTTTGGCAACCCAAAATATTTTCTGATCACCAGATTCACCTCAAAATTGTTCGTTGTAGTACCCCAAAATACATTCTGGTCACCAGATTCATGGAAAAACTATTTTTATTATGTTTAGCTAATCCAAACTAAACACCTCCAACAGATATGACTTCAAAAGTCTTAGTTTTGGTAATACGGTCTTGGAAGAGAAAAAGAATGGTATGGAACTACAGAATGTATGATATATTCATGTTAAAAAAAATCCCTAATTTAAAAAATCCCCAAATCAAAATCCCCAAATGGGGATTTTGATTTGGGGTTTGATTGTGGTAACCAATTTGGGGCAAATGATAACCTACCCTGCATAAGTGAATGACTCATGACGGAGGATTATTCGCAAAAACGTATGTGATCGAGCATCTCTACTCATTCGTCGATAATTATCGCAGGATAAAGCTTTGACATTTCTTGAGCAATATTTTATCAATACATAAGTAACACCAAACACATTTCTTGAAGCTAACGTATTTACTGAACCCGGATGTGGATGTGAATACCTTGGTATGAATATAACTGAGGATAATAAACAGGCGTAACCCTCGAGCATACTCAAGACCCACATTCTCCATAAACAAAAAAAGGATGTGAACGTGAAACTTCTCTGAATGCAAACCAACCACCACATTCCCGCACCGACAGTCTGATGATCTTTGAGTTTTCTTCTTCCACTCTAGGTCTCTAGGGTTTATGTGAGGAGTTATAAAAACCTCGATCTAAATTTTCAGTTACTGTGTTCTTGAAAAATATATGTCAATTCCACGGAAAAAAACATGAATATTTTTTATACGACTTGACAACAATAGTGGGAAATATTCGAAATAATCACAGTTGCATTGTAACATTTTTTTTTTTATATAAAAGTCAGCAGTTAAAAAACTAATGCCACTTCAGAGAAGAAAGCAAAAAAAATACAAGTCATTTAATGAAAGTATGAAAAGATTGATGATAAAATTCACATCTGTTTGATAGTGAACCAACTTTATAAAATGGTTTCGTTAGTGTATTTCCATGTTTGATTTGTTTTATTTCAAAAGTATAGAGCAAATGAAAAAGAAATTCATTTTGAATACTTTCATTCGTTCGTTACGTAGAAACCATGCGATTTGTAATAGCTCTGTTTGCCAACGTCTTTTTTTTTCTCTCATTATTTCATAGTATAAAATATATCTAGGTCAAACTACAACAGCATCTAATTACTATTGTAATGAAAACAATCAAGATGATCAATTTACATTGTCTGCGTCGCTTCATGCAGCATGGCAACCAACATTAAACTGTTCTTTACAACAATGTAATACAAGCTCCAACGATAACAACAATTGTCGTTTGCCATCAACACCTTGCTTCAATTATCGTTCACTCAACAATACTAGTTATTGTGCACCTGGCATTCTATGTTCTATTTTGGAACCATGTGACAATGTTATCTATAATTGTGCAGCAAATACTTCCAAATGCGTAGTTAACTTGTGCTATTCACCACAAACAGTATGTTTACCATCGTTATTGATAAATTTTTCTAAATTAGGTAAAAGCACTTTTTTACTCAAATTTGTGAGTGTATAGGAGTCAATTAAAATACTCCATCTAGATTCCAGCTGAAATTTGATTCGATTTTACTAACTGATGATTGAATGAGTCTCGTTATAAAGCGAAAATTACATAAAGGATAAAGAAATGTTAATCAGAAAAATCAAGAGTTAAAGATGAGAATGATAAGGCCACTAAAAAAGTTGAAATAGATTGAAGTTTTCATAAGTGATCAGAAAATCAGAGACTAATTGATACTCTACATAAATCGACCAATATATAAGTGATTGATTCTGTTATAGTTTTAAGGCTTGTTTTTTTGAAAAAAGAGGTATCAATAAAGTTTCCAGTTAAAGTAGAATGAGCAACTTATATGACTTATTGCTTTTATAGAAGCAATTATTTAAAGGATTAAAGCAAGATTTCAGAAAACTGTTTTTTTTAGATTTTTTCATTAGTCAAACAAGATACATCTTTTTTATTTGAAATATTAGATGATGAAAACAACGTTCTTAAAACGTACAAAGGCATTATTTACATTAGATGCATTATTGTTTTTCATTCAAGACAATTTAATTAGGTACAATTGTCATATATGTCAGTTAAAGTAACTGGAGAAATGTTGAATTATATCAATGATAATATAGTTTTTTAAACTTAAAAATAATATTTGCAGATAATTTATTTGGCTATCTTCATGTTATCCTTAGTGAATTTGGTTATTATTATAGTTGTTTTAAGATAACATTCTCTAGTTAATATAGTATTCAAAGTAAATTTAAAGCAAGCGATTATTAACAAGTTAACGAAAACATCTACTTATTATATTAGTCAGCTTAATAAATACGAGACGATACCGGCAGAGAGATATTGGAAACCGATAGCACTTGGAGGCAATATTC